TGGTTATGGTGATGAGGATGATGATTGTAGAAGGAACTTATAGAGGGGGGATGAGTGATGCAAGCTCAAGCTTTCATTAACGTAAGTGATGACCTCAGGCTTTGGTTTGCGGCTGGCAAGCCCAACATTATACTTTGGACAAAACAAAATTGTCTATTGTTTTATTTTAGATTTTGATTTGTAATATATGATGCCAATTGTTCGTGTTTGAAATCGATTCTTATTTGAAATTGATTTAGGTTTAAATATTCTTGTTCGTGCTCAGCTCGAAATTGACTCGTTAGAATAAATTAGAAAAAAATAGATGCAAATAATTGGATTCGAATATGGATCAGATCTATGTAAAAAAATAGGTTCGAGCTTAAAAGAATTATTCATGTTCGAGTTGTTTACTCAACAAATAAGCCGAACACGAGCTGTTGACGAACAACGAGTCTTTTTTTACAGCTCTATTTGTGATTATTTTATAACATTTTGATGTTATAAGACAGACACTTCTCTTATGATTAGGTGTTTTATCGAGATATAATTAAATACTTGGATCCATTCAAATCAATGCAAGTTTATGGATGAATAACAGTTATTTGTATTATATTTATTATATTATTGTATATTTAAGATGATTAATTTATGATGGATAAAAATTGAGGATCAATTTGTAATAATTTTGCAACCAACTCGTTATTGGTTGATACTTACTGAGTTACATCCAATTATAATAGACTTTTTTTGGAAGAGAAAGAAGAAGAAGATAGAATTGAAGAGGGAGAGGGAGAATTATGGAGAAAGAAGCTATAGGATTTTATTGTGATAGCCGGAACTCTCGCCCGATCAGGTTAATGTTCGTTTGGCCTAATGGTCTCACAGATTTGTCCGGTTGGTGTAACTTCCCTACCTAAGATTGCTTGGGACGAGCGCACTTAATTTCAGAGTCTCCAATAAAATTTCGCCCGCTAAATCAAAAATCATCTCGATGTTTAATAAAAGTAATATGAATTGAGATTTACAAAAGATTGATTGTCGTAAGAAAGTAATTGAAATGACAAGCAATTATTCGCCCTTTGACTCGAGGAAGTTGCGGATGTGACAACTTTATTGAGTTAGATATACAATCAAGTCATTAAGGTTGTGTCAACCACCTTATTTACATGTCACAGTCTCCAAATTCTAATTTTGCGCCATGGTCTATGTGATGTATCCTCCATCCCTTTATCCTTCGTCATTGCAAAGGGGTCGAAGAAAAAGGCGTGGAGTAGAGAAGGTGAAAAATGGGAGTTTCTGAGGTCTCTACCTTCCCAGCTAGGCCTAATGGCGATTGTGTCGCAAGATAAGATCGGAGAAGAAGGAAACGAATAATAGGAGTTTTGTAGGGGCAAGTGTCGAGTAAAAAATTTATTGAGCTTGTTAAAGTCCGAGCAACCGCGAAGGCAATTGGCGAATCAAAATTTGGTGAAGATAGGGGCAATGAAGGAGGCACGGAAGGCGGGGATGATTTCAGCTTTGCGAGAGGCGAGGAGATTTAAGAGGAATTGTTTCACCTTGATAGGACTGGACTCATTCGATGGATAGGGGCAATGAAGGAGGCACGGAAGGCGGGGATTATTTCAGCTTTGCGAGAGGCGAGGAGATTTAAGAAGAATTGTTTCACCTTGATATGACTGGACTCATTCGACATGCAAAAATTTTTCTGTGAGGAGTCCTGAAGTAGCTCTACGTCCGGTGAAAGTTATTTATGAGTTATTTTCAGATTATTTCTGGGTTATTTTCAATAATACCGAAATAACCCAGAAATAACCCAGAAAGACCGCGGGTTATTTCTGGTTATTTCGGTATTATTGAAAATAACCCAGAAATAATCTGAAAATAACTCATAAATAACTTTCACCGGACGTAGAGCTACTTCAGGACTCCTCACAGAAAAATTTTTGCATTCGATGAGCTTGGTGGAGGGGATGCATGTGTCGTAGAAGATGGTTTTGGGCAAGAGAGGGGAAGGGTGACTAGGCATCGTGACGGTATCCGCGATACACATGCTTATTGTTTCGGAGTTGTGATACGTAAAATTTGTTGTTTAAGAGCCTCTACATGTAAAAACCTCATTTTATTTTTGTTGGTCTTCCACATATTCAGCTTGGACAATAATGACTTGAATTTGGCCTTTCAAATCAATTAAACCTTTGTTGGTTCAGTCCAATATAAACACTTGTTTGTCTAGTTTAAATGGAGAAACAAAATTAAGCATATTAAATGATTCCATAATATGCATTTAATTAACACTATTGGTGACGCAAGTGCACATGCGCAATTATTTAATATGATAAGGGTGTGTCATGCAAATATTATAAAAGTCCATATATTATCTTCAACTTTTTTTTTGAATTATAAATGCAATCTTATTCTATGACTTGGTAAACTTTTCACATTTAATATACATGAAGATTAGTTATCGTAAGCCCGCAAACTTGAATTTCAAGCCCCGCGAAGTTAAATCCACCGATTCGTAAGACTTAAGATTTACGGGATTTACAATCAAGAGCTGCAAAGTCTGAATTTATGTAGTCGCGGGATTTATTTTGTGCAAAATGACCGTCTCGCATGATTCGACTACAAACGAAAGTTTAATTCTACAACATCATTAAAGAATATTTTGAATCATGAAAACAATGCGGTCGGGCATATTCGTAATAAATTATATACATTACCACGCCCCAAACTTGCTATTTACAAATCAACCTCATCCATTTTTCAAATTCTCGCTCAAATATCAAAATTCATGATAAAACCTCAATTGATAATTTTCAATTTTTACCAAATTGTCAATAGCTCGATGGTGGCACGCATAAATATATCGGTTCAGTTGTTCGAAAAAATTGTCTAAATAATTATTTTGTATATGTCAATATTTCAGGGGGTTTATATGTAATTATACCTAAATTATAATATTTCACAATATCAAAATAAATATCCTAGATCAGACTTTAAATTACACTCACACCAATCTGTTTGGGGCAGCTGCCGCTTATTGAATAACCTGATGATAAGCTGATTAAGGACCCGTTTGGGGCAGCTTATGTGCGGGCAGCGTTTTCAAAACACTGTCTCACCGTTTGGAAAACACGTTCCAACAACTTATCTGAAAACGCGGTTGAGTTTTTACACTAAATGCAGACCGCAGGTTGAACCCCGTGGGTCACGTTTCAGGATAAGCTGCTTATCTGGATAAGCACAAGCTGCCTCAAACACACCCAATTTTACATAACTTAAAAATCTTTTACAGAAAAAAAAATTGTGAATTACAGTTCCCCAAACTTAATTTTAATAACATATTTAATTTAAATGTTTACCATATTAACAATAAAATTGAGATCTTACCCTAAAATAGCTTTATAGTCGTTGCTAAAGTCAGTTGGCTTGGCAAAGTTTAAAGGTGGGGACAAGGATGGAAAGCAAAAAAGGCACAAATTCTATGTAATACTACACTTATTTTACTCTAGTTTGAGAATGAAAATATTCTCCCTATACCTTAGTCACTTGGAGACAAAGTGTGAAACGATATATTTGTTGAAGGGTTGGTGTAGCTCCAATGCTGGACAAAATTAGAAAGTCGGCTTATGGTTTGGTCGAATTAAACGTCAATCATTTGATGATCTGATTAAGAGAGTAAATGTTTCAGATTCAACTTATGTTAAGAAATGTAGAGAAAGACTTCAAAAAAGTTGGGCATACTGTATAAAAATTGATCTTAATTTATTAGAATTGAATGAAAACATGTCCCACTTAGTGGGACAGAAGCTTGTTGTTGTCGTACCTTAGCCATAATAAAATAAATAATAACTACTATATATATATATATAACTATGACAAAAAAACAAAATCAACTAAGATCTAATCAAACAGAAAAATAATCATTTCAAGAACCAATGCTCAACTGAAAATCATTATATTGACAGGAAAAAAAAAATTCACTTACAGAACAGAAAATGGTATACCACAAGGCTCCAACCAAGGGTTGGTTATGGAAGGGTTGATTTAATCAAACAATCGTATCATGAATCGTCAGAACCCAATGATTGCTTTTTTCTTCGACCAACATTTCTTTTGACCGAGAATGGTGCGCCTGCTGGAACTTCATTAGATTTTGAATGATGCTCATTAATGGATCCTTGGCCTACGCTAACCTTCCTCCTCAATCTCAATATTTCACCCTTAGCAGCCGCCAGTTCTTCCTCAAGCCTTTTCGACCTCTTCTCTAGCTTCTCTCTCTCACTACCAAGCCTAGAAATGAGATGTTCAGCATCCTGCATATTTTCGAGCGAATCTTTCGCTATATTCTTTTGTTCAATCAAAGACATGTAGAGAATCTCCTTTTCTGTTTCTAGGCTAGCACTCCTAGAATTAGTATTCTCTAGTTCTTTAGAGAGCAACAACGCGCTCTTATTCATTTCATCGAGTGATCTGGTAGCCTCATCTAAGTCAGCTTCAAGGCTTCTCCGTGCTTCCGAGTCTTTCAGAATTTGCTTCTGTAATGCCTCGAGCTCTTTATTCAAGTTGGTAACTGTCTTCCTTTCCTCTTGTAGCTGATTCGATGTTGTTTGGATCTTTTGATAGTTATCAACCAATTCCATCTTCAGGCTTTCACGCTCCTCGATAGCGGCTCTCAATTCATTAGATGCAGAAACAAGCTCTTCTTCTGTATGCTTAAGGACCACCTTGGCTGATTCAAGTTTATCCGAAAGAATCATTGAAGTAGCCTTCGCCTCTTCCAGGTTATAATTCATTAACTGCCTTGTCTGGTCATACTCATTTTGCATCTTAGAAATAGTGGACATAACTTCCTCATAGGCAGTTCTGGTCTCCGTTAGTTCTTTGGACGTATGAGAAACCTTTGCTTCTGAAGCATCTAACATTTCTTGGGCGCTCTGGAGCTCATTTGTTAATTTATATATATTATTCTTTTCCTTCTCCAGTAGCATAATTGCATTATCCCTTTCTATTGTCAACTCAGAGATTATTGCGTGCTTGCTACTCGCTTCATTCAAAGCAATTTTAAGATTTTCATCCAGTTGTTGTAGCTGTTCATCTTTTCTGGACAACAGTTCAGAATTAAGGACAGTTGTTCTCTCTGAGTAGGAAACCAAAGCATTGTATTCTTTCATAAGATCATAAAATTTGATATTAGAATCATTCTTTTCTTCAGTTAGAGACTTAATTTTTTCATGTAGGTCGTCTATAATTGAATCCTTTGAATTGGAATCTGTTCTGACCATGTTGATGTCTTCTTTCAACTGCTCAATCCTGGAATTTGCTGTTGCAAGGTTGAACCTTGCCTGTTCCAAAGCAGAGCTCATATTCTTGCATTCTGATTCTGTTTTAGCTAGCAATGATTTGAGGTTTTGGATGTTGGACATCTTTTCATTATTTTCTAATGAAAGATGGCTTAATTCATCCTGCAAAGAAGTAATTCTGCCTACCTTTTTGTGGATTTCATCTTCAAGTAACTTCTTATCCTCCCTAGCTAGTGTCAAAGAATGTTCAAGTTGGCCTCTTTGTGATATGAGCTCCTCAACAAACTTTTTCTCATCATTGAGTTCTCGACCTAAAGCTGCTGCTGCATCCTTGGCAGAAGTTAATTGACTTAACAGCGATGCTTCATCATCCTTTAACTTCCTAAGCTGTCTCTGGTAATCTTCCTGTTCATTCAATAATTTAGTCTCAAAACTTTTCTTCATCAAAGCAGCAGCTATTTCCTGATCATTTGCCTGAGCTGTCATCTGCATATGTAACGGATTAGAGGGAAACAAAGTAAAATGCAATGTCAAATAGAGACATTGTAATCAAAGAGATTTTATTTTCTAAAGATGGAAAAACTCATTTTTTGGTTATGTATCAGAAGACTCCCAAAGACTGTCAGAGACAGGATAAAGAGGGACTGACCAGTTCCAATATCCGAGTTCAAAGCTCATCAATTCATAGAAATAACCTCCATTGGGCAATTTGGGCCATATAGGTAGAGAACAAAATCAACGTAGTTCAATATAGATCAGTCAACCCTGACCAGCACGGGCCCAAGCTCATCTTATCGTGAAGAAGATTCTGGAAGCCTCCTACTGATATCACCAACCTCAAGTAAGATTCTCAGTTGGTGAAATGGAATGAACACGCATGATGAACTCGATGTCAGTTTAACTAATGGCTGAACATATGAAGTGAAATGACCCAACCCATACTGTACGAGGTATTGTTCTTTTTAGACCAGCCCATCTCATGGTAGGATAAAACTCACAATTTTATCCTTCTTCCAACAACTTCTAGGATGGTTATCCATCCAAAGCGTGCTCATTTATGAGCACACTTAACCGTGGAGTTCCCAACAAAACTATACCTGGGTACCTCACATTTTATGTCTATCATAATATTTTGATAGTCCAGTATCATTCTTTTCCAAGATGGAATTTTGTTGATTACTATCCCCCTTTCCCCAGAAGAATGAAGATCACTCCCTGTTCTCTTCAAAGTTGGGCAATATCATAAGCTTATCAGCTTTCACTTAGTTCATCTTCAAACTATAAATCATACAAGAGGACATTATCTTCATTACCAACCAAAGGTGGTAAATTTCATCCTTAGTAGCTCTTTATATAGCTTTTGTGTTCCCCCACAATCCATGCTAATTTTCATGCAGTTTTTTGTACATTGCCTAGCTATCTAGCTAGGCTGTAAATTTATCTTGAAGAATGAAGATCAAACAAAAATCAAATCTTCTTTATGCTTCAATTGAAGCCAATAAACTAACTAACAAGCCAAGCCAAGCCCAACTTAGATAAAATATATGTATACATATATCTTTGAATGCATATACAAACATATTTATTTATATATTTAGATTTCAATTATAGTATGCATGTCAATTATAGTATGCATGCATCGCATCTATGTATATATCTGTGTGTGTGTGTGTGTGTGTGTGTGTGTGTGTGTGTGTGTGTTAGACTAAAATTTTGACTTCGAAGATAAAAGGTTAATCAAAATTGAATCAAATTTTTGCCTGAAGTGAGCTTGAATGAATTTGATGAGCATTGCCTTGCTCAAATTAGGATCGAATCAATCCAACCAAATTTGGCTAGGGTCAAAATCCGATTATAAAAGCAGCTAGGTCTACCGAAGTTGCTATGCATCCTTTGTAAACTTGGTCTACCCATACAAATCTGTTTGGCAAGTTGGCTTTCATGTCTTATTTGATTAAATCTAATCAAAGTAGGCTAGCATTGTCTTGGTGCACCCTCCTAGTTCCACCCATAAGCTTGGTGTAAGAATATGGAAAGAGTTCTATTTCTTATTCACCCCTTTGCATTACACTTTCACTACATCTATATAGTAATAGAACGAAACAAATAAAGAATACGTCCAAATAGGGAAGAATAGAAAATAAAAAATATAAATAAAAGAGAACACACATAATGAAATATATTCTGAGAGAAGGGAATAAATTCCTTCCTAATCAAGCATGTGGATCGGCACTTTCCTACACTCCCCCTCAATTTAGGTGATATATATTATACAAACCAACCTTTGACTTCAATTCATCATAATTGACCCTTGATAGTGCTTCGGTGAGAATATCATCAATCTGAAGTCATGTGGGAATATAGTTGAGTTGAACAATTTCATTCTTAACATTTCATGAAATGAAGTATCAGTCAATCTCGTTGTATTTTATTCTCATGATGCACAAATTTTTTGACTATATGGCTATCACCGAACAACTTAATTGTATCTTTCATCTCAACCTTAAATTCCCTTAATAGTTGTTGAATCTATACTCTGATATGTTCCTAGTGAAAGAGCATGATATTTACATTTTGCACTATTCTGAGAGACAAAAGTTTGTTTTTTACTTCTCCATGTGATGAAGTTGCCCCAGACATATGAACAACATCCAATGAGATTTCCTATAAGTTACCTCTCCTGTCCAACTAACACTTGTGTAAATATCAATCTCATGATTTTCAATTTTTTTTAAAAGCAAACCAGATCTAGGGGTCATCTTTAAGCATCTCAGGATTTTGTTCACTACTTTCAAATGGTCCTTATTTGGATTATTCATGTGCTCGCTTAGTACATTAACTGAGTATGAAATATCAAGTCTTATGTTATAGGTAAATTAGTTTGCCTATAAATCTTTGATATTTTGCTTTGTCAACTAAACTTCTTTCTTTACTTCACTTCAACCTTTTGTTAGAATCCATGGGTGTGTTTGTAGGTTTACACCCAAGCATGTTAGTTTTACTTAAAAGGTCTACATGTATTTCCTTTGTAATATGACAGTTCCCTCCTTAGCTTGAGCCACCTCTATTCACAGAAAATATCAGAGATTCTCGAGGTCCCTAATTTCAAATTCTATTGTAAACATTTTTTTAGTCAAATAGTTTTCTTTGAATCATCACTTGTCAAGATAATATTATCTACATATATTATGAAAATAACAATTTTATCTCTACAATTAGATTAAACAAACAGTGTATAATCAGCTTGACACTAATAATATCCATTGTAATTACTATTTTAGCAAAGCTTCCAAACCAAATATGAAGAGAATGCTTCAAGCCATATCAGGACTTCTCAACTTGCAAAGCAACCAATTTTTTGACCTATTTTCCAAGCCCAAAGTTATAGTCATGTAGACTTCTTCATCAAGGTCGTCACTGAGAAAGACATTTTTGACATCAAGTTGGTATAAATGTCAATCTTGATTTACTACATGAGGGAGTAGAATCTGAATTGTATTAAGTTTGACAACATGTGCAAAGATTTACTGATAGTTAATCTCCTATGACTACGTGAAGCCTTTGAAAAACTGTCTGGCTTCGAATCTCTCTACACTTCTATTTCCTTTATATTTGATCGTGAATATCCATTTGCAACCTACGGAAATTTTCCACGAGGTAACGCTATTTCCTTTATATTTGATCGTGAATATCCATTTGGGAAATTTTCCACGGGGTAACTTTGTATGTGTTCATGTGTTATTCTTTTATAGAGCCCAAATTTCTTCTTCAACAGCCTATTTCCAAGTTAGAACCTTTAGAATCTAGTGGATAAAGTTAAAAACATACAAACTATCACGGTTTATCATAAAAGCCCTGTAAGATGGTAACAACTTCCCATAAGTTGCATATTTTCTAATTAGATGATTAGTGCACCCTTCGACAGATTTCTTTGCAATTAGTTGATTAAAGTCATTAACCATCAGTGCAAGAGACCCGTGAGTTAATGAATCCATACCATTATGATTATTAGGACTTGGTTTTAATAGTTATGGGTCTACATAGTGTCCTCTACATGCTCAGTGGATCTTCTGGTGTAGACACAAAATTTCTAATGATTTTTGTTATGTTGAGGTGGAGTACAAACAACTAGAATTGTTTGTGTGACAGTTTGGTTCTTGAAATGAATCTGGTTGAAGGATAGGATTTGATTCAATTAAGAAAAATGGTCTGAGTATCTTGAAATTTTTTTTTAATCTAATGTTCCTTTGAGTTCTCCCCCTTAATTTTAGATTTGAAAAAATAAGATTTATTTTTAAAGAAGGTGACATCCATGGAGTTGTATTTTTTCATAGGTTGTAAGAATCGCTTACGCCAAAAAGTATTTAGACACATGATTAAACAACATACCACCTCAAGTAATTGTCTATTTTTCTTTCAACAACCCCATTTTGTTGGAGTGTCCAGACAAGAACTTATATAAATAATGTCATGCACGAAAAGATAAGGACACCACCTCAAGTAATTGTCTATTTTTCTTTCAACAACTCCATTTTGTTGGAGTGTCCACACAAGAACTTATATAAATAATGTCATGCTCGAAAAGATAAGGACTAAGTATAAACTTAAATTATTGCTTAGCACTATCAATTTTATGGATTTAAATTTTATTTTGGAATTGAGTGAGGATCATGAAATAAAATGATTGAAGTATGGTAGTTATTAAATTTTTCTTTCATAGAAATACCTATATTTTTCTTATGTGATTATCTACGAATGATACAAATCATCATGCCCAATTTATATAGTTTACTAGTGGGGGTCCCTAAATATCATTGTGAATTATGGAAAAAAAAAGATATCAAGACTTGTATTGCAAATTAAATTATACATGTCAAGAATATTTTACAAGTTGGCAAGTTTTAAATTGAAAAAGATTAGATTTTTCTCGTGATAAATAAATGTGAAAATATTTTTTTCATGTACATAAAATTTAAATGACCAAAATGATAATAACTTAACATGACTTTACTTTCAACTGAAACTACATTGATAGAACTTAACTTGGACTAAGAAATACAAGTTGATGGATGATATTGCCTACCAATGGAAGTTATTTCTTTGACTAAATATAGACTATCATACGTCTCAGTACTATCAATCACCTTCTCCAAATCTAAAACCTGAAAATCACAATAATTGAAATAAAATTTATTAACACATTTTAAGTCATGAGTAAGTTTACTAATTGAGAGTAGATTACAATTTTGAAGCATAAAGAACATAGTACAGATGAAGATTCTTTGCAAATTTGATTGATCCAGTTCATGTTAATAGTGAGAATAACCAATCAACTTTTTGAAATGTAGAGTGGCGAATATATGGGTTATACTTTTTTAAGACATTGATATCTCACGTTATATGATCTGAGGCTCCGAAGTCAACTATCCAAGATTTTAATTTATCGATTTGAACACTAAAAGCACAGTTAAAGATACCTCGGTGTGTTAACAAGTTGATAAGTAGTTTGACAGAGAATTGTAATGATTGTCCAGCCAGGATTGAAATGATTATTAAATATTTTTGTAGTGCTTCAATTTGCTCCTAAGTAAACTAGTTGAATTATGAATTGTTGTTGGTTATAACAATAACATTTGCACAATTCTCCTTATCATATCTTTCATTAGATGGCTTCCAATCTGTAGATTTAGAGTGTAATTTCCAAGATTTTTTCTTCAGATGGCTAGGTTTCTTACCAATGGTTGACTACGACCATCCTTTCTTGGGTTCTGAGAGAAATTTTGAGAGGATAAGACCAATCCTTCAACACATGGTGAGACGTGATTGTATATCAACATCAACTTCTTTTTACTCTCCTCCCTTCAAACATCTGCAAAACCTCCCAAATGGTAAAGATGGTTTAATTGCCATGATTCTCCCCCTAATTTCATCTAGATCTTTATTGATGCCAAGGAGGAATTTGATGGATCTTTTTAGTTTAGTAATTCCCATATACAAGGTAAAGTTTTCAAGGCATTTCCATGAATAAATCTCGTACATGTCCAATTACAGCCCACAACAAGAGAGAGTAATGAAATATTAAAAGCACTCAATTTTCCTTGTCGTAGATCATATAGTCTCGTCTCAATCTCAAATAGCTATGAGTTTTCAAAGCTATAGTAGGTTTAACTTGCAGCCTTACTTATCTTTTTGGTTGTCCTATAGAGCAGAAATTTTCTCCAACCTCCATAGTCATGGAATTTATTAATCATAACATAATCATGTGATACTCAATTTTTCAGACCCGATATTTGGCATGTCATTTTTGGAGCTAAAATTTTGCATGTGAGTCGCCTATCTTTCCCTCTGCCATAGATGTACATGAAGATAGATTATGACCATTAAAGAAAATTATGATAATGTAGTTTATCAGGTCCAATAGGGACTAAAGATGTTGGCCGGAATCTAGAGGTGACTTCCGAGGATGAAGACTGTGAGGCCGTGTCTTGTTTGGCCACAACCTTAATTGAGAAGACCTGTAACAAAAACAAAATCAAAAGTTACCTTAGTTCGACCGCTCAATTGGATAAGCAAATAGGAACTACGAGGAGGAGGATCCTTAGTTCAACTTTTCGGCTAGAAAAACAAACAGAAAATAGAGGGAGATGCACGACTCTTGATTTCCTTGAGTTCGACATAGTGCAACTCGTGGGAGGGCGGTTAGAGCAAGCCAAATTAATTGTAGAGTCGAATCGTTTGTTATTTTTAGCGAACCAATGGAAAAAGCGACCTACAAAAGAAACAATATGTAAAAAATCAAAGAGCATTCAAATTATTTGCGAAAATCGATCGCATGAGCCAAATCCATCTCAGACTATATGCTGCAAGGTCAGTGTCTCATGTGAACGAGCGAGGTCTATGAATCTTGTGGACGAGCGAGGTCTGCAGCTCATGTGTACGAGTGAGAAAGAGATGAAGTTCTATGTACATCGTGCTCCCGTCATTCTGATCGGAGTAGCATGCAGAGAGAGACAATCGGATTTTCAGAGGTCTATGTATGTCGTGATCGAAGTTAAGGTTGGTGTCGAAGACAATTTTGAATAATCCTATAGATATGTTATCATTGTCGTGATGAGGAAACTTGGTTTGGAGATTCGTTGAAAATGCGATATTGGAGACTTAGAGAATACCTTGACACTCTTTGACCTCGAAGATTTCAAAGGGCAGTGGAGACGAAACAGTGGTTAAAAAATAAGGTTGGAAAAAGCGACCTCGAAGACAAACTTAGTTCCTTCTAGTTCGCTTGACCTCGAAGATTTCAAAGGGCAGTGGAGACGAATTAGTGGTTAAAAAATAAGGTTGTAGCCGCGAACTAGAACGAACTAAGTTTGTGGCTCTGATATCACGTGGAAACCTAGAAAGAATTTTATTTCCTATTCAACTTTTTGAATTATACATTACTACATATATAATAATAATAAGGATAGAAAATAAAATAGGAATCCCTCCAAATAGGGAAGAATAGGAAATTAGAAAATATAAATAAAAAAATACAATTAATAAAATATATTATGAGACAACAACAACAACAAGTCTTTATCCCACTAAGTGGGTCGGCTACATGAATCCTTTTTCTCCATTGCGTCTTACTGAGTGTCATATTTTCATTTAATCCTAATAGATTAAGATAATTTTTTATACAATATGCCCAAGTCTTTCTAGGCCTACCTTTGTTTTTCTTAACATAAGTCGAATCTAAAACATCGACTCTTCTAATCGGATCATAAGTTGGTCGACGTTTAATGTAACCAAACCATTTAAGAAGATTCTCTCAAATTTTGTCCGCAACTTGAGCTACACCAATCCTATCATGGATACATTCTTTTCGCATTTTGTCTCTAAGTGAAACATATTATGAGAGAAGAAAATAAATTCCTTCCTAATCAAGCATAGGGATTGGCACTTCGCTGCACTAGCCAAGTTAAATTCATGCATCATTAGAAGAGAACTAGAAGAAACAGCACCCAAACCCAAACCAAGTTCAAGCAAATCTTCCATTTTAACGTAATTAATTGAAAATTGGAGTCATCTATCAAGGTTACAAACTTTTGGGAGTGATCCAATGGCCAAGACGTTGCAAGCTATATCCTACATTTCCAACCCTAAAGTACAATTAGAGCTTGCAACAAAGCAACCATTCAAAATTTTACTCCACCAGCACTGCCTAAAATTCATTTTAGTTACAGTTAAAGGCCATTGTCAACTTTTATAATTTATTAAGAGATTATCGAAAAAAACATAAAATTTTAGAATTTATGATGATGTCCATGATGGTGATGATGAATGGTTGCTATCACCGCCCAGCTATGATCACAAAAAAAATTGAGCTATGTTAATTGATATAAATAAAATAAGTACAGCATAAATAACAGCTCATTATCAATCATGTTTGCACACATGACCGGATATCATATACACCCTGTTGTACTTGAGCAAAGAGCATACAATTGTTGAGCGGTGCCCAAAGCTACAACTAGAAATTCAATTAGCTATACACGCACGATCCATATTTGCCCTTGTGTGATGCATTAGCAAGTTTCTATTTTAATGACTTTAAAGGATGCAGTGAAATGCAATACAGTAGAGAAAACAAGCAAAAAAAAGCAGCAATTCTAAATTTGTAAAAAGAAACTAAGAGATATTAGATGCTCAGAAAAAGAGAAGACTAGAAATTGCATATTTATGGAAAATTTCTAGCTTATCTTGGTTAAAATTTCTACTAAGAATGTGCAATTCAATACAAACTAGCAACGTTAACTCAGAGCCACAAAATAGGAAGAACCTAATACAATAGACGATATCCATAACAAAAGCAAAGTAAATAGGAGCCTAGTGAAGACAGCCTATCAGGGATAACATCAAGCATACATAATCGACATTAACTAACATTCAAGAATGGCCGAATAACAAAACCACATGAATGAACACTTGGTCAGTTATTAGAGGTTAGGAATTTGAGTTAAAGGAGATTTAATTAAAAAGCTTAAATCAATGGATGTCAATTTATAATCAACCATACAAAGTTGGGAGTTCACCTCAGTTCCAAACTTTCCTTTAAACAAAGCCTTTATAAATTCATCTAATGCCCGTCACAAACAAAACACTTTTGTGTCATTTTCTCAATCCTACGAAAACTCCAGCATATGTGAGTCCCTTATGCCATTAAGTTGCAAATATCATCATAAACATCACGTACCATCTAACTAGCTCGTGTTAATAATGTAGGCAAAAAAAATTTAAGCTGAATAAAAGAATGATATAACATATTTGAAGGGGGTTTACAGAATCTATAGTGGATTCCAGTGCCTTCTTCTCCCTCTGTGATGCAGAAAATAATGCACCAAGCACACCTGACCCAATTATTCCAATCCCATTTATGAATGATACAAATGAACTTCCACCACTATTTTCTTTGGCATCACCCTGCATACAGAGGTTATAGCTTTAATTAAATATTTAGCAGAATGCATGCTTAATTTTTTTTTCCCCTATGAGCTTGTAGTGGGATCATCACCTTCGCTTGCTTATGCTGTTGAGAAGGAAATTCCTGTTTTTTTATCGTAGGAAATTGTACTCCGACATCATTTTCAGCAGCTCTAGGGACTTGAGATTCTATTGCAGTCGCTCTAGAATCTGAAGTATCTATATTAGATTCTCTCAATTTAGTTCCTAGATACAAAATGAAGACATTGTTAAATACTATGAAGCTGATCTACGTAGAACCTAGATACAAGAGATGCATGTGTTAAGAAAATAGCAAGAATTTGCACAAATCTAAAAGCATTTTCACTATAACGTCAAACATTGCATAGGATAACCTACTTGTTGAGGAGAGAATGCTTAACTTTAATTGCAGAATTGTAAACATAGGAGTCAATATTATGAATAAAAAAATAGAGACAAATATCCATGATTACATAAAGAGAAATATCCACTAATTCAAAAATGAGTTGCAACATACAATACTTGCACACCCCAAAAATTTAACTCAGTCTAACTTACTTTTCTTTTCTCTTTTTATTTCCTCTAGTCTCTAATAATTTTATTTATTGTTCTCAAGCACAAAGAAAAACTCATGGAAATATATATACATCTATGTCTTAGAAACTGAACTAGGCTGATCGGCCATCCTGATTCAACCATGGACTGGTCCTTCAAAAAATTTAATCTAGGCCCAAAACCGCTTCCGCAAAAAACCAAGATTGAACTAATCAAAATCAAGATTAAGGCAGCGAATAGGTCCAATTTCTTAAAAAAACGACTACTTCTAATATTGGTTTTTTTTTTGATAAAATAGTCAAATAAAAGATTCAAATTAAAAATGAAGAAAATAACAAAATTTTGATTGAGAATATTATTCAAAATATTCAAATGAAGTATTTTAAATTAAAATATTTTATATTAAATTCATAAAATATCTTTATAGCATCATTATTATATTGCTTGAATCATAATAAAAAAAATTAATAATTATTATAGCATATGGTTCAATTCAGACTCCGATTAGACTCCAGTTGAATATGTAAACCTTAAACCTCACATTCTTCCATTTCAATGTTCGATATACTTTTCTTTGGTTGACATAATTGTGACAAACTCCTGTTACCAATGATTGCCTTAGAACCTTAGTTGATCTAATTTAACAATGATTTTTTTTTTTCTCATCATTGTTTACATCTTGCCACCAATTGCTGATCATTGCTTGTAACATAACAATGGCTTCTAATAAGAGCTAATGTGATGGAGCCTAAGACATAAATACTTATAAAGACTTTAATACACCTGTTGTGCCTGTAGAAGAGGCAGACAAACCGATCCAGAAGAATATTCTGGACCGGCCAGACCTAACTAACCAGCCATTCTAGCCAAGCCAATGGGCCCAGCTAAGAGGGGTAGAATCCCTGAAAACAACTGAGGGCTATTCCAACTCTTCGGCGGGGCCCACATAGTTGTTAATCGTGTAGAATATGGTTGTTAAAGGGGGCTTTGGGAGGAAAGTTTGAATGTATCTCAAGGGGTATTTATTAGGGCGAATTGCTAGGATTTGTTTTATATTTTAATTTGCTGCAGTTTTCATTTCTCTGTGTTCCTAGCGACGTCTAGAGTTTGTAGAGAGATGACCTACATCTCGAATTATAGATCATCCTTTGTATCTTGTTCGATTGCTTTGATATCAATCAAATTAGCTATATATTGGGTTCTCCCACATAACTATAGCAAGTTGCTCGTTGATTTTGGCTCTGGCTTCGGTAAAATTGGTATCAGAATAAAATAGAAACGACAACAAAAAAAAGCGGATGTGTTGGAAGAGAGATTGGAAGGAGAAGTATGATAAATCAAATCTAAAATAAAGGAAATGTTCTCTACTATAGAAGGAATGTTTTTTCCATGAATGATAGATTTTCTTCCATGAAAACCGATTCACAAGCTTGGAGGAGATGATAAGGAGGCTTATTGAGGTGCAACCCAAAACCCCGCCAACAGCTCAATTTGCAAACCCTAATCAAGGGTCGACAGGAGGATTCATGCCAAATCAAGGGGAAAAAGATCAAACAAGAGGAGCATAAGGAGAAAAGCATCCATTATCAAGAACTTCCCCCAAGGACTCCAACAGGAAGGTGGATTAGAAACAATAATGCAAAATAGCTATGATCGAAGAAGAAAATTTCACCCTAGAAATATTGGGGGAAACACATGAGGGAGAGGAAATTTGAGAGGTGATGCGAGGGTCAGGATGTTGACGATATCGATCTTCGAGGGTTAGGATGTTGAAGACACGGATAGGTGGGTGTAGCGGGTGGAGTGATAATTCACGGTGAATGGGTTAAATGGGAAGGAGAAGCTCATGACGACAGGGTTATGTTTGGAAGAGAAAACCATAACATGGTTTCAGTGGAAAGAGGCGAGATACCCGATCCGTTCGTTGGCGGAATTTAATGATTGTTTGTTGAGAGACACGACACTATAGTTAGGTTTCACATCGTCTCCAACGAAGAGAGATTTCTCACATACTTGGAGAAGGCAAACTCCAGCGAGGTCGTCATTCTCTCCGGCAAGAAGAACTTCTTCCTACGAGAGCAAGACTTCGATCAACAGTCGCGTAGGTGAAATTCCTCAATTTCTTGCAATTTTTTATTCTTAGAGCCTCTAGTTTTGGATGTTAGAGGAATTAGGTCAGGATTTTTGTGTTTCAATAGGAAGCCCCATAGGATTAGGTGCTTTGCGTTCTCCCTCGCAAATCCAAAGAGAGAGAGCAATCTTTTTCGTTCTAGATCAAAATCCAAAAGTCGAGGTTGTACTAATCCAACCATTTGTCTCAGTGATTTCATCAGAATGGACATTTGAAATCCATAGCCGGGACGGAGAGTTCCCTTCGCGAGGGATTCCCCATTTAGCGTAGTGCAAACGGAAGTGAGCATCATATTGTCTCGTGCAATATGGTGTTGATACACCTCCCCCTCGTTTCACCTGAGGTTTCCCGTGAGTTTGCTAGGACGAGCACGATTCGTCGTAGGGCCTAATAGGGTATTATGTTGCATTTGTTTGCATTTTCATTGGGTGCATGACATGAATTTAAAATATGCATTAAAACCATTTGTTTTTGTATGCTTTCATCGATTAGCCGCCCATCGATGAATAAACCATTTGTTTGCATTTTCATTAGTCGTAGGGCCTGTCATCGATCTATTGGATCGATCGGCCGACAACGGTTCGATCATATTGTATGACCATTTTTAGTTGATCGTCACACTCTGGCACGATTGACCACCTTCGGGCTATTCGACTAATCAGCACCGCCACAGGCCTGATCATATCGACCGAACATCTTTCGTCGATTGGTCGCACACTCTGGCACAATCGACCACCTTCGGTTTATTCGACCGAACGATGCCGCCACGAGCTCGATTGTATCGATCGACCATCTTCTATTGATCGGTCGTACATTCTGGCCCGATCGACCTCGATCCACTTGATCGATTGGCGCCGCTCTCGGTCCAATTGATCGATCGATCATTTGCATTCGATATGCTGCATTCATCGCATGTTTTTTCACATAGTTTGTATTAACATATCCATATTTGCACTCTAATAGTGCACTTGCGGGCATATACCTTCATATGTTCATGATGAGATTTGTGCTTCTCAGCGACACATTACTCTTACAAATTCGCTATTCGACACGCTTATGCCGTGGTGCAACTCGTATGTTCACACTTGCACTTATGCACTGCTGCATGACTGTTTCGCATGTCATGTTGCATTTCCATAGTCCTGCATGTCTGAGTCTTGTTTGGGTCATTGTTATTGCACATCCACCCAGGACACCCATGTGCTTGTATCGAGGATGGCTTGCATATCAAGTCTCCTCGGTGTCTAATTTTTTCCAACAAGAATTATTTCACTTCTTTCCCATGTCTCCACATTGCACTGCCGTAGGATTTCCCCCGAAGTCACTGCATCCCGTGCACACTCATATTCCTTTGTCACTACACACCCACCATCCGGGTCACTGCCTCCACGACACACCCATCCTTGAATCACTGCCCCGACAACACACTCATTTACACTTGTGTTGTATGTTTTGCATGCACCATTCCGCACTGTCGGCACATTCGTCATTAGTATATGCCACTGTATACTGTTGACAAATGTTTGCTATCCCGTGACAGCACCCTACACTGTCACACCGTACTGGATCTTCGCATTTGCGTGTGCATTCTTGGTTGTCTCGACGATGAATCTGTCTCGTTAGTGAGTGACCCTTTGCTGGTCACAATGGGGTAGCGAGTATTGCCCATGAGGATGTCTCGGCAGGGTAATACTAGCTAGCACGTTGATACTAACACATAAATGATGCGCTAAGATTCCAAGGAGTCTAATATGTGTCACTTAGGATTTTCTTTCCTAGGAACTATTTTAAAAGTATAAAAAAAATTATATTTTTATTATATATGCATCATATTTTCAAAATTTATTTTAAAACTATTTGTATATCTAGCTTAGCACATACATGAGGTTAATTTTTCAAAAGTTTTCAAAGCCTGCATCTAGTGACACTTCTTAGAATCTTTGGATCCTTAGAATGTGGTCGGTGATGGTAACCCTGTCAAAACATATGTCATCCTGTTCACATAACCCTGTACTCAATTAGATGCTGGTCAGAACACTACGTTAGATAATATGCTAGGCTAAGGACTGAGATGCAAGGCGGTCATTTTCGATGTCCTAGCTATATTTCTTTTTTGATTTGGTTGTCTTAGCTAGGAATTACCTTCTGTGCTTCTTCTGAGCTTGCTTGTTTACTAGTTTAATATGCATAATAATATATTAAGTCGATTTTCTTGCAGAGAGATATGCCTAAAATACACATTTCACATGTAACAAGGAAGAGCAGTATAATGATTATGACTAACTCTTTTCTGTCAACATTGTTTAACTCCCACCAAGCATGACTCATATGCGTTGTTTGTTGGTTTTGTCGCTAACAATGTTTTCATGCAGGTCAAGCCATTTTCTCCTTTTCTTATATACTTTTTAAAGTTCTTAGAAGAGAATTGTACTAGAAATAAAGTACGGGCAAGAATTCCGAGGAGTCAGGCTGGTGGAATCACATGATGAGGACCAAGAGCTGCTTGCCCGTGTCTCGTACCTTAATTCTAAATCATATT